ACCTTATCCCCCCATTGTCCTGACCTCACCTTTTCAGCAACTCTTGTCAATCAATTTATGCACAAGTCATACTTTCAAGCCGCTTATAGAATCCTCAGATTTCTCAAATCAAGTTCAGAAAAATGGGATTTTATATAAAATACCGGATACTCTATAAATTGAAGATACACAGTTGCAGACTATGCTGGATCATTGGCGGATGAAAAGCCTACTTTAAGCTATGTATATTATTAGAATAAAATCTCATAACTTGGAGAAACATGAAACAATATCTGATTTTAAAATTAAATATTGAAGTAGAGTTTAGAGTTATTGCTCAAGGGATCTGTGAGTTTCTATGAGTTATATTTATATTTGAAGATTAAAAATCAAGTGGAAAGAGTCTATAAAAATACACCATGATAATAAATCAACCATCAACATTGCACATAATTATGTATACGCTATAGTACTAAGTATGTTGAGGTTGAAAAATACTTTATAAAAGAGAAATTAGAAAATGACCTATTTTGTACTCCATATGGCCCCACAGGAAATCAACTGGCCGACATCTTCACCAAATGACTGTCGAACTCAACAACAACAACAATAAGTTTTTATCCCACTAAGTTGGGTCGGCTACGTGAATCCTTTTTCTCCATTATGTCTAATTGAGTGTCATATTTTCATTTAATTCTAATAAACTAAGATAATTTTTTATACAATTTGCCTAAGTCTTTTTAGGTTACCTTTGCATTTTTAAAAATAAGTCGAATCTAAAACATCTACTCTCTTAACCAAATCATTAGATAGTCGACGTTTAATGTAGTCGACGTTTAATGTGACCAAACAAACCATCTAAGATGATGATGAAACTCAACATTTAAAAATATCACAACAAACTTAGAATGTTAAATCTCTACAATCCAACTTGAGTGAGTGTTGAAATTTTGTTACTCCAGTCATATAAAAAAACTTAAGGCACATGGATCACGGTTTTGTACCGTTGGATCTGTTTCCTACAACTCTTGGATATAATGAACTTAAGACACATGAGCTGAGACTATGCACTATTGCATTTCTCTCTGACTCTTGAATTTCAATCCGTGTCTTTCCTATAAAATCATAGGCTCCTAATTATTTTTCCCTTATTTTTGGATTTTTTTCTATTTTGTAATGCCTCAGGGAGATCTGTATATACCTCCCATTTTTTACAAAGAAAATAATAAGATTCTTAAGAAGCTTATCCATTGTTTTTATATTCTATTTTAAGTTATTTACTTGGTGATTGATTTCGAGGGTCTTATATATATTTGCAGTTATGACCTACATGCCACAAGATTTTCGAGGAACTCTCATTAGGCAGCAACGTGAACGCTCAGAGAGGAATAGACAAGCGCTGGTTGATACTTTGGTAAATTCTGGTGGAAGTATTCATGATCGTTATGCTTTGCTGTGGAGTCAGCAGATGGAAAGGTCAATTCTTTTTTAAATCTTAGAAGCTAGTCATTTGACCTGAGAAATTTAATGTATCTACATGTTGATTATATAGACGGAGGCAGCTAGCTCAGCTTGGTTCTGCTCAAGGTGTCTACAAGACTGTCGTTAAATATTTGGTTGGCGTACCACAGGTGTGTTGATTGGTCTTTTTTCTTGCTATCACTCTTATGAAAAGTTGTAAACTGAATCTATGATTTTAGATAATGATTTTATTTCCCATTTTAGTTAAATTGCACCAACTTACTGTGAAAATATACTGGAATCTCATAACTGACACACACACACACACACACACACACACACACACTCACATATATAGACATGTTGTATATATCTGTATATATATATCTATATATATATATATATGTATATATATATGTATATATATATATGTATATATATATATATAATATAAAATACTTTATTTTATGAATTACTTATAAATCCAAGTAAAGCGTATTAAAGATGAAAATCAAAAAGAATTTTTCCTAGAGCAAGATATTCAACGTAAGTGGGTGAACTATTTTGATAAACTTTTCAATGAAGTTTTTGAAAAATACGATCGATCTTAATGTATTTATTATCGTTGATAATAATAAAACATTTTATTTTTACCATCACATTAATAAAAAAGAAGTTGATGAGGCTTTAAGAAAAACCAAGAGTGATAAATCAGTAAGACCTGATGATATCTCAATTGAAGTGTGTAAATATTAGGAGATTTAAGAGTTTCTTGGCTTACTAAACTTTTTAATATTATTTTAAAAACTTAAAAATTGCTTGAAGAATGGAGGAAGCGTGTTTTGGTTCCCATTTTTAAATATAAAGGTGATGCACAAGAGTGTGCAAATTATAGAGGAATTAATTTGATGCATCATACTTTAAAATTATGGGAGAGGGTAATTCAACATAGTTTAAGAAATGATACAAAAATTTCTCATAATTAGTTTGGATTTATGCTAGGCAGGTCTACTATAGAAGTCACACATTTATTGAGAGATTTGATGGAGAAGTACAGAGAGAATAAGAAGGATCTACATATACTGTTTATTGATTTAGAAAAATCTTCCAATAAGATTCCAAGAGAAGTCCTTTGGAGAGTTCAAGAGCAAAAAGGTGTTGATTTGATTTATATTGAACTCATTAATGATATGTATGCTAGAGTTGTTGCTTGTGTTCGAACAGAAGGAGGACTAACCGAGTATTTTCCTATTTCAGCTGGATTACATCAGGGAACAGCTTTAAGCCCATATCTTTTTGCTTTAATTATGGATGCTCTTATTGGACATTTACATTAGGATATACCTTGGTGTGCTTTTCGATGATGATTTCCTTTTTGTGGAAAAAATTAGAGAAAGAATTCAGGAAAAACTTAAATAATGGAGGTTTATATTGGATTCTAAAAGTCTTCGTGTGCGTAAATCTAAAACTGAATGCATTGAAATGTAATTTTAGTAGTAGTAGCCATGCTCTTAAAAAAATTTAACTTGTAAGGACAAAGACAGCCAAATATGGCAGGAAGGTAAAAAAATACTGAATTTTGAGTTTGGTTGCAATCAGAAGCGAAAAAAGAGCTAAATTTTGGACTCTCATTGGTAAGGTGTGAAAATTTCGAGAGAAGGACAAAAAATTGTTGGTGCTAGAAAAAAAAGCTTTTCTGTATATAGATGTCACCCAAAACTAATCCAAAATAGTGTTTTCAACGAATTTTTACGCCTTCATCTATCCATCTATCTGTTGATAAATACATACATACAAACAAACATACATATATATATATATATATATGTATGTTTGTTTGTATGTATGTATTTATCAACAGATAGATGGATAGATGAAGGCGTAAAAATTCGTTGAAAACACTATTTTGGATTAGTTTTGGGTGACATCTATATACAGAAAAGCTTTTTTTTCTAGCACCAACAATTTTTTGTCCTTCTCTCGAAATTTTCACACCTTACCAATGAGAGTCCAAAATTTAGCTCTTTTTTCGCTTCTGATTGCAACCAAACTCAAAATTCAGTATTTTTTTACCTTCCTGCCATATTTGGCTGTCTTTGTCCTTACAAGTTAAATTTTTTTAAGAGCATGGCTACTACTACTAAAATTACATTTCAATGCATTCAGTTTTAGATTTACGCACACGAAGACTTTTAGAATCCAATATAAACCTCCATTATTTAAGTTTTTCCTGAATTCTTTCTCTAATTTTTTCCACAAAAAGGAAATCATCATCGAAAAGCACACCAAGGTATATCCTAATGTAAATGTCCAATAAGAGCATCCATAATTAAAGCAAAAAGATATGGGCTTAAAGCTGTTCCCTGATGTAATCCAGCTGAAATAGGAAAATACTCGGTTAGTCCTCCTTCTGTTCGAACACAAGCAACAACTCTAGCATACATATCATTAATGAGTTCAATATAAATCAAATCAACACCTTTTTTCTCTTGAACTCTCCAAAGGACTTCTCTTGGAATCTTATTGGAAGATTTTTCTAAATCAATAAACAGTATATGTAGATCCTTCTTATTCTCTCTGTACTTCTCCATCAAATCTCTCAATAAATGTGTGACTTCTATAGTAGACCTGCCTAGCATAAATCCAAACTAATTATGAGAAATTTTTGTATCATTTCTTAAACTATGTTGAATTACCCTCTCCCATAATTTTAAAGTATGATGCATCAAATTAATTCCTCTATAATTTGCACACTCTTTTGCATCCCCTTTATTCTTAAAATGGGGACCGAAAACCAAAACACGCTTCCTCCATTCTTCAAGCAATTTTTAAGTTTTTAAAATAATATTAAAAGGTTTAGTAAGCCAAGAAACTCTTAAATCTCCTAATATTTACACACTTCAATTGAGATATCATCAGGTCTTACTGATTTATCACTCTTGGTTTTTCTTAAAGCCTCATCAACTTCTTTTTTATTAATGTGATGGTAAAAATAAAATGTTTTATTATTATCAACGATAATAAATACATTAAGATCGATCGTATTTTTCAAAAACTTCATTGAAAAGTTTATCAAAATAGTTCACCCACTTACGTTGAATATCTTCCTCTATGAAAAACTCTTTTTGATTTTCATCTTTAATACGCTTTACTTGGATTTATAAGTAATTCATAAAATAAAGTATTTTATATTATTAATTTGTTGTGCAAATGATTACAAATTACATTGATGTTCATAATATAGTGCATGAATCAGTCACAATTTTTTTTTATATGAACTTTTCATGATAAATTCAAATATGCTCTTTTTTTTATTCTATAATCTATAAAATAGCAACTTATAATCTTAAAAGAAAGTATAAACATATAGTTGTTATAATGTTGAGCAGATGTGTGGAATATCATATATTGAAGTAATATTGAAGCCATTACCCACATTATGTAGTTCATCATAGTTGCTTCATATTTTGAATGCTTGAGTTTAGGAAAAGAGAATATTGAAATTTGATGATAAAAGCAGTCAAAACTTAAACTGAAACTGAACACGGAAACCATTTAAACCACATAAAAGGAAACCAAATAATACAGCTTAAACTTCAAACTGAATTTGCTAACTTTGAGGCACACAACAAACAAACAATAAAAAACACGTGAATGAATGCACCATGGTTCTACTAGGCTATTACCTATTTGTGATGGACATAGTGGTGGTGGAAGCTAAGAGGAAGGGAATTTTAATGGAAAAGTTAGAACACAAAGTGTAGCTTGTAGATTAATTTATTTTTTTCCTTGGTTTAAAAAGGCAGCTGTTCCATTTGATATAATGTTCGGTTTTGAATTCTAGAGTATTTATTAATACCAACTTGAATGAATTTTCTTTTCCATTTTCTGTCTTACATGTCATGCTATTTCCCTTTTGGTCACTCACATCATTTCTTTTCCTCCATCCTGCAGGTTTTGTTAGATTTCATAAAGCAAATTAATGACGATCAAGGGTACTTCCTTATTTACATTTTCATGAGTGGCAATTAAATTAATGGTCATGTAAAAACATGTATATATGAGTTCTTACGGACTCCTTTTGAGGTGAGTAGAGCTGAATGATAATTTTCAATGTTACTTATATTAGACCCATGGAAGAACAACGGCAACGTTATGGACCTTCTTTATATAGCCTTACAAAGATGGTGCTTTCAATTCGGTTTTTCCTGCTACTTTCATGCGGACGCCTTGAGAAAATAAAACTGTGAGCTACCCTGCTTGGCCCCATGTTCACTTTCAGTAAAATCATATGGTATTCTTTTACTGTTTCTTGTGCTGATAATTTTTTTTTATCATGCTCATGCTCTGAGCAGACAGAAGGATCAACTATCAGTTATACAGGAGGCTGTTGAAGTTTACACTTCTGAGTTGGATAAATTCATTAAATTTATTCGGTAATTATACCTGCACCCTATTTGACAAATATACTAGCATGTCTTCTCTTTGAATTACTCATTGCGGATCTATTTCAATATCCAAAAGAAAGCCTTTACTACTGTCATATCATTTATTTATTTGACTTCGAAGGTTCATGTATTCAATAGAATAGAGTCGAAAGTCAAAAGAGTGCATTCTATGATACTAAAAATTGAGATCCTATTTTCTGCTTTAAATTTAGAGTTGTTTTTTCCCAAAGAAAAACTTTTCCCACTTAAAATTTCCCATTGGCCTATCAACATGCATTTTTTTTGCATAGGTTATACTTTTAGGTATTTTAGATGGTATTTCTCTTTTTCCTAAGCCCAAACTATTTGAATGAGTGAGCCTGATGGAGTGGTCAGTTTGTCTCCATTGTGATCGGGAGATCTCTGGTTCAAGCCACGGAAATGGCTTCTTTTGATGCAGGGGGAAGGTAAATTACACTAGTTGTCTCCCGAAACCACGGTATTTAGAACATCACACTAGATTATGCCTTTTGTAAAATTTAGTATAATTGGTATGCAACACATTGGGTTGTTTACTATTGTATCATAGAAAATAATTATTTCAATGCTTGGCGGACATGACCATGATGATAGGTTGTCTAATGCAGTGTAGTCTTTGTGAATTCTCCCTTCTTTATACCAGCCGAGGATGCTGGTGATGCAGAATCAAGGCATGTTCTCTTTCCATACCCCTCTGATTTCAAACAATTCAATTCTGAGCGTGAACATAATAAAATTTAAAAATATATGTCAAGTCTTTTAAATCTGAAGTTTTGTGCCCTGTCAACTTTGCAGGAAGGGCGACGACTACAAAGAAACAGTTGTTCCTCCTGGGAAAACACACGAGGTAAGATGAAGTAGCATGATGTTTTTTTTTATCAAAAACCTGTCATTCTTGAGTCATTTATGGTTCTCACTGGCAGCTTAAACCATGAAGTTGATGGTTTTAGAAGCCATCATTGTATTTGTATGGGCAAAGAATTGTGTATTCTGAAGCTCTTTGTGTGTATTCAGTAAGCTATCTTAACGAAAATAGTAAATATGTGCATTAAAGGAATATTATGAAGGCACAAGATTAAGGGCTTGTTTGTTTGGGGCTCAAGTTAAGCCAAGTAAAGATGAGCTAAGCCTATTGATGATAGTCTTATGCATTTAAAAACAGCCAAGATGTTTGGTTTGTGGAAAAATTGTACTGTATGCTGAGGTAAGTTGAAAAAGCTATTTTGTTGCATTTTGACTTGAGTTTATTTTCTCCTCTCGTCCTGTGTTATTATTGCATAATTGTGTGTATATTTAGTCTTAAATATAATTATTAGGTTAATGATTATTAAATTTATCTTAATAATATCTCAAACAAATTTTAACTTCTTCTACCTATAAAATACTCATAAGTACAACCTTTACATTTCATTAAAATCATCGTATTTTTTAGGAAGGTGACAATATTATGCAGGATGAGGTTGTGAATCCCGTAAACCAGGAATCCAATTCAATTGGCTCATCAGGTCAATTACTGCTTCCTAGGGCGGTGTGCCGACCCCTCCCAAACAGTTTATTTGTTTCCTGATTTAGTGTGGGTATTATGTTAATTGTTTGGAGAATTATATGTTGGATTTGATTATTTGGATAGTTTTTGGTTTTGTTTATGCCTATTGAGATTTCTTTTTGGATTGTCTCACTTTTGGAGTGCTATGGCATTCCTCTTTTCCAGTGGTGTGCATGTAACTGAAATATCTAATAAAGGAAATACATTTCATAAAATATATTCTGAGGATTTCTTCATAATGCTGATTGACACTTTCTAATACTTCCCCTCAGTTGGGTTTTTTATATTGTAGAAAACAAGCTTGAAATTTAGTTCTTTATAATTGACCCTTGGTAGGTAAGAATATCGGGAATCTCAAGTCATATAGGAACATAGCTGAGCTGAGCTGTTTCATTGTTAACCTTTTTTGAGATGAAGTGCTGATTAATCTCGATGTGTCTTGTTTTATCATGATGCACATGATTTTATGTTATACCAATAACTGCTTAGTTGTCACTGAACATCTTAATTTACTTTTCATCGCAACCTTAAGTTCCCTTAATTATAGTCTTTGAATCCACATTCCTTCACATATTCCTATTGCAAGAGCAATATATTCAAATTTTGCACTACTCTGAGGGATAATAGCTTACTTTTTTGCTTCTTCAAGTGACGAGATTGCCTCAAACAGATAAACAATATCCAACGGTTGATTTTCTATCAATGACTGCTCCTGCCTGACTAGCACCTATGTATATCTCAATCTAATGGGGTTCATATCTTTTAAAGAATAAACCATATATAGGAATCATCTTCAAGTATGCCAAAATTCTATTTATTGTTTTTAATTGATCCTCATTTAGGTTATTCATGTTCGGTTTACTACATTGAGTGAGTATGCAATATCAGGCCTTTTGTTTGACAAACAAAGAGTTTTGCCACAAGTCTTTGATATATTCTTTTGTCAACTGAAGTGCTTTCTTCACTTATGTTCAACCTTTTGTTAGAATCCATAGGTGTCAATAAGTTTACACTCAAGCATGTCATTTTCACTTAATAGGTTTAAGATGTACTTATTTTAGGATATGAGAATTTCCTTTGTAGACCTAGTCATTTCAATTCCTAGAAAATATCGGAGATTCTCAAGGTCCTTGATCTCAATTTATGTTGCAAGCATCTATTTTAGTATGATAATTTGTTTTGCATCATCACCCGCCAAGATAATATTATCTACATATACTATGAGAATAGCAATTTTGCATCTAGAATTGGATTTAACAAACACTATATGATCAACTTGACACTGATGAATCCGTTTGTAATCATTATTTTAGCAAACTTGCCATACCAACTATGAGGAGATTGGTTCAAGTCGTATAAGGACTTCTTCAACATGCAAACCAACTTATTTTTCGACCTATTATTCAAGTCTGGAGGTATAGTCATGCTGAATTCTTCATTAGGGTCGCCAATCAAGAAGGCATTTTGACATCAAGTTGGTATAAAGGTCAATCTACATTTACTGTAAGAGAGAGTAAGACTCAAACCATATTAAGTTTGACAATAAGTGCAAATGTTTCCTGATAGTCAATCTCGTAAGACCGTGTGAAGCTTTTGGCAATCAATCTGACTTTGAATCTCTCTACGTTTCCATCTCATTTGTATTTGACCATGAATTCTCCATTTGCATGTTACAATATTTTTTCCATGTGGTAACTCTATAAGTGTCTATGTGCCATTCTTTTCTAGAACATGAATTTCTTCCTCGACAACTTTTTTAATGTTGGAACCTTTAGTGCCTCTAGGATGGACTTGAAAATTTGCACGCTATCAAGGCTTATCACAATAGCCTTGTAAAGTGGTAACAACTTCTCATATGCTACATATCTTTCAATTGGATGATTAGTGCACCCTCATACACCTTTTCTGTGTGTAATTGGTTGAATAAAGTCATCAACCATTGCTATAAGAGAGTCATGAGTTGAGAATTCTATGACATTATGTTTATTAGGAGGATTCGATTCTGGCTCTTAGCAGTCCTGAGTATGCATGGTGTCCTTTACATGCTTAGTGTTCCTTCTTCTTCTGGTGTAGACACAAAATTCTTGATTATTAGTGTTTTGTTGAGGTGAAGTAGAGAAAATTGAGACTATTTTTGTGTCAGATTTTGATTCTTCAAGTGGAGTTGGTTGAGGTGGAGTAGAGTTAAGTGGGGTTGATTGAGGGACAAGCTTTGGTTCAGTTTAAAGAAAATTGTCCATTAGTTAAAAGAAAATTGTCAGTATTTTGAAAAAAATCCCAAATTTGATATTCCCTTGAGTTCTCCTGAATTTTATATTTGGAAAAATAAGATTGATTCTCAACAAGTGTAACATCCGTGGAGTTGTATATCTTTCGAGTGGTTAGAGAGTAGCATTTATATTCTTTATGATTTGACGAGTAACCAAGGAAAATGCATTTGAGAGACTTTGGATTGATGAAAAGAGATATGAAAATCTCTAAGGATATTACTCTTTCTTCTATTTTAAATCTTCCAAAGTTGCATTGCAATTTGATTTCAACCAATAAACTTACTCATGATATGAAATATTTAACTAAATTCCTTACAAATTCTTGTGAATATCAGGTAGAGTCAGTGAAGGTGATTTGCAGTGCTAAAATGCATCAAAACTTATATTTTCTTAAAAAAGGTTTCTCTCTAAACATACAAATGACCTCACCTCCACATTTACAGTCTGTCTGCTGAAAATCAGATACTGCTATGGCATTGTCGCCCGGATCATCCTAATTTCAATTATGTTGCAAAGTTGTATGGTCATTTGTTCATCAATAAAAACCTAATTTTTTTTTATCAATGTGAGATTTATCAATCTGCCAAACGTATTAGAAATAGTTATCATATGACCTAAGACAAATCCTCACGCCCTTTTGTTATTATTCACAGTGATATTTAGATGTTATTGTTTATATTAAAACATCATTTAAATATAATTTAATATATTTTATTTTTTTAATTAATAATTTTAATTGATTATAAATCTTTGTGGCCTTGTAGTTATATAATTTTTTTAAAAATGCTATTCATTATATATGTGTAATTGATGAGTAGTATTTCGAGCTAAAACGAGCCGAACACAAACAAACAAATTTTTATTGGTGTTCGGATCATTTAGATATCTAGCGCAAAAAAAATTATTTATGTTCGGCTCGTTAACTTAGTGAACGAATCAAACACGAGCTTCTTAATGAGCCGAATATGAAATGTTCGCGAACAATGAGCCATTTTGACAGCCCTACTTGCAAGGAAACACACCAAAGAAGACGAGAATTGCATTCCTCGATTAGATCCACATTTGTTATAAGTATATAGTGAAATGCTTCCACAAATCTAGGGATATTACAGGTTTACACAATGGATAAATACTTGCTGATATCATCTTTTAGGCTAAAAAGAGAATTATAGATGTTCTGATTCACATGTTGATCCATAGAGAAAATATATAGATTCCCTCAAACTAAGTTTCATATTTTCAAACAATCAACGATTCTTGCTTCTTTTTTTTGAAGTAATTTATGAGCTTTAGCACAATCTATCATTGAAAGAAGAGGTGTGAGAGATTTGTCAACCTGCCGAACACATTAAAATAGTTATCATATGACCCAAGACAACCCTGACACGCTTTTTTTGTGAGATTATTTGCAGACATAATGAATTTTTTGAGAGAGCTTTTGCCAAGTTTACCAACTGATAATTCTATGAATCATTTCATTCGCTTGGAAGCTTAAAAAAAGTGCTAGATCTTCTATGCACTCTCCAAAACAAAATAAGCATGCTGCCATGTCTCATGGGTTTTGTATTTCACATTATCAGTTACTAGTAGCATTAATCCAGAACATATTCATTCTCTTTCGTTTAGATTCTTTTTGTTTCCCATTTCCAGGTCATTTTGACAGTAGAAGCTGTGAATTCATACATTGCTTGGGAATTTTCTTTGACCCAAGGAACACTGAGTCTGGTATGTTTTATGTTCACTATAGAATGGAGTAAATATTGGCCTCATTTTAATTGTACCATCCGATTCTATGTAATTTCAATTCTAACCATCTGCAATGTGAATAACTGCAGTTGCTCTTGATAAAGTACTCTGAAAATAATTCTTTTGTGCTGTATCTAACCAAAATAGCTTATTTGTATTAAGTTCTTAGAAGCATTTCAGATATTGAAACTGTCTCATGCCCGTAGTGTTTAATATTCACATCATGTAAATTGTTGCTCCAGTGTTTTGTTGGGGCAATGTTTTATGACGTTGAATATTTTTTTTATTTTTCATTCATTTTGGGATTTCAGAATGTCGGTTAGTAATGCTTATTACTCATATCTCAGGGACAGGATATTGGTTTTCATGTGGAGTATGTTAATCCATCTGGAGATGTTACAGTAAGTTCATTACTTCAAACTAATTTTCAAAAATAAATAGCATCGCATATCTTTTTCTTGAATGTATTAGACTTTAATAGTGCTTTCTTTTAATGCAAACTTCTCCTTCACTTTCCCTGATGTAGTCTTCATTATTTTCAGCTGATATTACCTTACCGGCGCTATTATTCTGACCAAGTGAGTTTTACTTTTGTTATATTTAATTTTTGGGGCATTTACTTACATGCAACACAATTCTTATGTATTTACACATCTAACATCTAAAATTCAATATTAACATGCATACCACTCAAATCTTTAGCCTCACATCAAAATTACTAACTTCACTATCTTTTAAAAAATGAAATACACCTTTTCATGCATAGGCTTATGACACCAAGTTTTTATAAGTGTAAATATCAAACTTTGGGTGCTAGATATGAATATACATCAGAATTGTGGTATGTATGTAAATTTCCCTTTTTTTATTTATTGCTTTTGTGATACTTTATTTTCATTCTCTCTTTTTTGTTTATGCTCCACCGGTTACAGGGAAATTTTTGTACAATCTTGACTGGATTGTACAAACTTGTCTGGGATAATTCTTATTCAACATTTCTTAAGAAGGTAATTAACCTTAGCCATTAATTTTCTTTTCTATGAATAGATGTCACGATCCTGTCTGAGAGCCTAGAATTGCTAAGGCGGAAACAAACGGTTATGGTATAGTATCATATCAATCTAATTTTTGCAACAGTCCACAGGAATCATTCAAATACTAATGAGCCAATAAATCAAAATTTTTAATATATCACCCAAATTAAACGGTAAAAATATTCCGTTGTATCAGTAAAGAAATTTAACACCAAATGATTTTATGATATTTATTTTTATTAGTTTATCTTGTTCTATCACCATACTCGCTTCTGTCAGTCAATTAAGTAAATAGAGTTTTTGTTGAAGCAAGTAGTTAAATAACTTATTTATACAACAACTTAATAAATAATTACAGTTCTCTTGTGTACTAAACTTATATGCATATGCTTTATCATGAATGCTATTAAAAAATGATGATTAAACATTAAAATTTTATTTTATTAACTTTCAAATATTTGCATTTTCTTTAATTATATTTTTAGAGAATTTTAATTAAATTTTATTTAAGAAATCATCTCAATAACGCCATAAAAATTTTATACCAGTTAAAGTATATTTATTTTTATTTTCATTTCATTTCTAAGTTTTTTAATTTTTATTTTTGTCGAGTACTATAATAGGGGGACTCTTTTGATTAACTTGTATATTTATTTTATTGATTTTTTAAATTCTTGTAATCATTAAAATATTTTTTAAAATTTCAGTGCAAATGCAATATGTGAAACATTTGTTAAACATTGAATATTTCTTTAATTTATTTATGGTTTACATTTTTTTTTGAAGCGTGTATACATTTAAAAAATAGAAGAATTTAGTACAATAAAAAAAAATAATTACTCACTTCACGTCACCTTCTAAAGTTAAAATTTAATAAAATTTATTGATTTTTCCTTCATTTAACTTGCTTCTTCCCTTTGATCTTGATTTAATCTACAATTAAACATGATATTTAGCTTATAATTACAATATTATTATTAAAAAAATTATATTGATATTTATATTTCATTTAATTCTTTTACTCTCTTAAAACTAATTTTAAGAATGTGCCTGTAACCTGATTGGATCAAGGTGGTGAGCTCTCCTAATTATGTGATGACCTTCTATACCAACTGACATGCTACCAACCTGCTGTTTCGATATGTTGTTTGCTGTCTAGTTCCAATTTTTCACCGTTCCTCAACCGCTATCATCGTTTTCCTCTTTCATTTCTCATCTTATGATAACCCATTTCCTAACCTTCTCACACCATCTAGTAGCCCTAGATCGACGTCATTTGATATTTGAGCCAAATCCTAATTTTAATTCTAACCATAATCCTAAACTTTTAAAATCTAGCATTCATATGTTCACCAAAAATTCATCTCTACACGCAACTTGAACCTAAACTCTCAGCCAACCTTATATCCACAATCATGCCCTAGCCGAAACTCTAAAATGAGGAGCAAGACTGACGCAGGGGACGCAGGGAATTCCTAGCCTGACTGAACTGACCACTGGGGGACAGCCCTCATCCTCCCTCTTTCATTGGGCGTGAATCATTCCTTCATTTCTTTTTTGTTTTCTTCCGTATAAATCTATTATAACTGCATTTTTGCAGTCTTATGGTTTAGTTTTTGTCTTCTTGATTTCAGAATTTTGTTCATCTTGCTGTCGATGACTTTATTCCCTTCCAAGTTTGTATTCCTAGGCAATGAGGTGCTCCGACTGTAACTCATTCTTGATGATCTTTTCCAAAAGTTTGAGGGGTGCTTCGACTATAATACGATCCTGCGGGGATACTTTTCTTCCCCAACTCCCCTCATTCCCCATTTTCTGTTTCTAGCCGCCTGCCCCTCCCCCTTGCCGCTGCTACCTTACCCGCGCTTCCTTTGCTCCCAATCGCCACATCCTAGTCCACTTCTTGCCGCAGCTACCTTACCTACACTCCCTTTACTTTCAATTGCCATGTCCAGGTCCACTCCATGCTGCTTTGCCTTACCCACACCCAACCCTTCCTGTTCTCCCTTCCCGTAATACTACCTTTAGCCCACTCCTCCATGCCTGCTGCAACCAGCTGGCTATAGGTTGTTGTCCAACCGTCCCTCAGCACCGTAACCCCCTCTTGTCCATCCCACAACTACCGTAACTCCCTTCAGCACAGCCAGTTACTGCTGCAAGCTCCAACCAACCCTTCCCTACTGTCCAACCACCAGTCACCGCCCTCGTCCTCACCCTAGGGTGTTGTTTGTGCTTGTTATTCGTTCATTTCCTATTTTGACAAGCCTTCGTTGTAATCTTTTGAATTTCAACAAATAATAGTTTCATTTCTATTGTGGTTTAGGTTAACTCCAGTATCATTTACTATCAGAGCTAGTTTAACTCCTAGTATCTGCCTTGCCCCTCCAACAAAAATTTTCTTTCTTATCCTCCCAAACCATAGTTAAACTTTAACTTAACCCTAATTTCTCCTTGCTATTTTCAAAATCAACAACCCTAAATCAAATTTTTACACCCTATTTCACCTCCCAACTCTAAACCTTAGGCATGCCACCAATGAGATACATGTCTGAGTATACTCGGGAAGAGATATAACGAGAGATTCGTCGACTTTAGCGGAAGCTTGCTGAATTTGAGGATGAAACCCAGGGGGACTTACCCTCAATGGTCACAGGAAAAGTCGAAGAGGCGAAAGAGATGAGAATTCTTTCATAAGGAGGATTTCAGTGATGAAGAAGAAAGATCACGACGCTTTGGAATCCAATATCAGAGGATACAGAGAGAGAAGGCTTCACATGGAAAACATGGGGACCTCAAAATAAAGGTGGATCTATCAGAGTTCGATGGAGATATTAATTCAGATGAATTTTTCGATTTATTGTAATTCGTCGAGCGAATCTTCGAGCATAAGGATTGTTAGAGGATAAACAGGTAAATCTAGCAGCCTTTAAGTTGAAGAAAAGCACTTCTCTATGGTGGGAAAACCTGAAAAGACAGAAAAATATAGGACAATGACAAGAACACCAAGTGAGAGAAGATGAGTAAAGAGATATAGAGGAAATACATGTCACTCCACTACCTTTAGGATATGTTTTTGAGACTCCACCTACAACAGTGAGATCTATCAGTGGAAGAGTTCATGACCCAGTTTGACCAATTGCAGATGAAGTGCGAGTTGGTCAAGGGTAAGAGGAGCATATGATAGTTCATTATCTGGGAGGCTTGAAGCCAACTATCAACAACGTAGTATAATTGCAGCCCTATTGGTCACTTAGAGATGTCTAAATCTTAACGTTGAAAGTGGAATGAGAGCAGAAACAAAGCAGACAACCACCACCAATTGGGCAGCCATGCACAGTTGGAGACACAAACAGGAGCACATTTCATGGGGTTGAGAAAAATGGTTTGGATAAGGATAGAGCCACCCCAAGTGAGAAGTTCGAAAAGAGTAGCACAACTACTACAATTCCCGTCCAAAAATGTTTTAGATGCCATGGATTTGGACAAATCGCCTCCAACTTTCTGACGAGCTGAGTTGTATCTTTTACTGAGCTGGGCGTCGTGGAGAAGGTTAGCGACCAGGAGACAGCTGAGGAAAATGGTGAGGTGTATCATCTTCTGCCGGATGAAGAAGAGACTCTCGTGGTTTGACGGTCATGCAGATCGAGGATACGAGGGATTTACCGTTATTTCATTAAAATATATTCTATACTCGTTGCACTGTGAATGAGAAGGTATACAGTCTTATTATCGATGGAGGGAGCAGTCAGAGCGTGACATATACATTGATTGTGAAAAAGTTTGGCTTCATGACTCAGATGCACTACGTGGTCGATGTTGTTGAATGTTTCCAGAGTAATTCACCGTTTGTTACACTCTTCTAAAGTGAGACTAGCTTGAACCTCCCCAAGCGGGGGTGGTCCTGGTGGTATGGTATCGACCGTGATATCCTGAAATACTCTTTTTCATGCCTGTCTCGTGTCTGGAGTTGGTTTCTCAATCTTACCATTTTTTGTCATTACCAAAACCGGTCTCACCGATGTTGTTTTCTAGCTAGGTCATGTGATCTCAGGCTCTGCCAAAGGGAGGACGATGTGCTTCCCATCCTTGGTGAAGGTGCTTTACGATCAAAATGTTGTGGTCATCCCAATAACATGTGACAAACATCCATGAGTACCACGTCCAATTGTGGTCCAATCATAATTTAATTTGAAAGGACTTTTAAAAGAATAAAATCTGACAACAACAACCATGTCAAAAAGCCCATGTGCGATTGTTAAAGTTGCTATATGCAATATAATTTAAAGGAGAGACGTAATTAAAATATAGAGATGTGAGACTAAATTATAAAAGATAAATGAATTTAATAATCTTTTTCTTATCCATATTTGCTTGTACATAGTTTCAGTTTTTTACTTTTTTTTTATTATTTTGGTCTATAATTTAACAATCCGTGAATTGCAAAATGCCAAATAATATAATATTAATGTTATATGATATTTATAATTAATTTTAATATATACTTATATTAATATTAATAATAGTTTACCATAATTAATTTTTTTTTATTATAAATTTTTTAAAAATTATTATGATGTCATTCTTAAATTATATATTTAAAATTTTTTGAAATTAATTATTAATTAAATTTTGAAAAAATGTTTGAAATTATTATAATGTTAGTTATTTAAATATTGTGGTATTTTATATTTTGTAATCAATTTTTTTTTAAAGTGAATTTTTTATGTCATGTTTAAATTAATGAATTTATAATTTAAGTCATCCGGTTGAACCCTCGGTTCAACCTTTGAACTTTGAACCCGAGGTTCAATGTTCGATCCGGTTTTCAGAACCTTGCTCTAACATGCTGCCTTCCAATTGCAACAGCTAACTTACTGTCTGCACTCTAAAATCTCCTTCCTGCCCTTCCTTTCTACCATGATCACCTTCTTAATTTGCTGCCTTTGATACTGTAGCCGCTTTCCAAACTGCAG